GTACTAGTGGTGGTTCGCGTCCCAATTGTTCTTACTGACCACGCTGGACGACACGTCAGGATGCAGAAGTAATTTGCATGCGATTATCTTATCGCTTGAACGAGTTGTTGTCAGAGAAAAACGCATACTTAGACTGAGCGTGATAGTGGTTGTAGTGGCTCGCGTCTCAATTGTTTTCTCTGACCGTGGGAACCTTTACTTTTCGAGCCTTCAATTACACACCTCAAAGGGGATGCTCAAGTTCTACTCGCCAGTGTTCCTTGTTCTTTTTGTTACTAGGATTCAAGGAAGAACTACAATGTTTCGGGTAAATCGTTGATCACCACAAACTGTCGAACACGGAGCTGGCTTCGACCTCATCGATCCTAATTCAGCTCATAAGACCGTTGAGCAATTGCAACCATTGAGCTCAACTTGTGTGTTTCCTTTTCGTTGCTAAGCGACGTTCTTGCTCTAACTATCCATGCAGTGCTTAGAATGACAGCTTCTATGAACCGGAGTATGTCGTTCGCCCCGATAGGACCACCCATCCATGATTTCCCAAGTCGCTCGTTCCCTTTTATCTTCTTATAAAGAGCATCGAAAGATATTCTTGTTCTTTCCGTTACTAGGATCCAAGGAAGGACGATTATTATTTGGGTAGATCACCTTTGGTAGCCACAACACAGCGCCGACCTCAACAGACTCATCGACCCTAATTCAGCTCCTGAACAGTTGAGCCCATTTGTGCGTTTCCTTTCGTTGCTAAGTAACGTTCTTGCTCTAACCATTCCTGCAGTGCTTATATTGAAAGCTCTGCTCGGGGTGTGTCGTTCACCCCGATAGGACCAATGAGTCGAGCTAATGTCATGCATACTTTCCCAAGTTGCAACGCTATTGCCCTTTTATCTTCTTGTTAAGAGCGTCGGTATATTATTATTCTGTACAGCCTGCACTCTGCAATTATACAAGGATGTTAAGGGTCTCGTATAATGTCCTATACGGTATATAAGGAGGGCAGTCAAATACCTCAGATGCGGCAAACTTCCACAACTCAACTCAACTCAAGCAACAGGCACCTCTCCGTTCTCCTCATTTCAAGCAAATCAATCGATCCTACAGCTCTCTCATCCATTCCAGTAACCAAACATGCCCTTTTACTATCGTCCATACCTCTGGTCAGATGAATCCGGTACGCTCTACTTTCGGTGTTCGCTCTCCCTGCTATTATTCTTAACATTACATTCATCGCAGATCGAACCCGAGACGCAGTGGTAGCGTTTTTACACAAACATGGTATTTACCGCTTTCACGTCCGATGGACAGAACAACTGTTTCAGCCCGATCAATTTCGTGATAATCATAGGATATACTTTGGAATAGAATGTAAGTGAATCTCTACCCTTTCAAATAACTGGATAACGAACGGTGAATCCTAGTGTACAATCAGCAGGAATGCATATTAGCTGAAGGCCAAGAAGCATCGGGTAATTTGGCTCGCATCGCTGCCTTCAGACGAGCTAAAACCAAGATCTTGGTATGATACTCAGATTCTGCAATCCATGTCGATTGATTGACAAGAGTCTTTATATAGGCCTTGCTCCCCCCTCCAATTCCTCAAGGTGGTGGTCTGGATGGCTACCCGCCAGGGTGGCTTGATTGAGATTCTGGTATCGAACGTCTTCTTAATTGAATGCATGCTACTGTCACTGCATGATAGATACGTTTGGATACCCGACAGCAATTTGTTGATAATATCACGATACATGTATTCTTGTACTTATTTAGGAAATGATGGACCATGTACATCACAGGAAGGACTTCTTATATATTCGCCGTGTTTCCGAGGACCCCGTAGCATCAAACAATTGGGCCATTCTATTGGATGTCATACTAATTGCCTTTTCCACGCGCTTAAAATTGTCCCCACGCATCTTCTCTTGACCATCGAAGTTTTGTCTATGCGGTGTAAGATTGTAACAACTGATAGAAGAATCAACCCCATTATTATTTTAGCATTCTACTAGGTCCCTAGGAACGTGTAAGAAACGTTGTCTGTCGAGCGTCTGGTTGGAGTTGGCAATCGTGTCTTCACAGCGCTGGAATATGGTCCATTTTCCGGACTTGGTAAGCACACTTACTACTGTAATATCTAATGGAAATTGTCCTCATTGCCTCGAGAAGGCCGGTTTCTAACCCTGCTGTTGATAGAATAGCTATGACCCTAACAAGGGCTGCGCCGGAAGACTCATCGGGGATAGAAATAATTTGTAGCGGTGAATACCCGTACCAGACTGGTATGCAGTGGAGCTCACATCTGACAGGCCAGATCAACACATTGAATTGTCGGCGAGCCATTTCTTGGGTCTAAAGCAGCCGCAGTTTAGGAGATATTTCCGTACCCCGCCGTTGGCAATTCGAGGGCCTCAATTCTATCCCGTGAGGTTGCCCCTCAGCATAGGTGATCAGCTTGGAACCCGAGCTACCGATGAAACCGAGACATGGGATGCATGTCTCGCAGAATTATACAGCTGCATACGTAAGCCGACATGGTCAGTGACTGCACGTCCATTAATGACAATGAGCCCGCCGCCGCCGTCCAATCACTGGCACAGACACCTGTGCGTCAACAAGCGCTGCCGCATCTTAGCCACCTATATGCGTGCTCACCGACCCCGTTCCCTTGCCAGGAAGGCCATGCATCTCATTACCACCAACCATAACAAGCAGCGTGGGATATCAATATCAAATAACGGCTGATTCAAGCAAGTGCCAAGAGGGTTGCGGGACAAAGAAAACAACTTCTGAGCTGTCCCGCATGTCTCGCGAGCTGCATGCCCAGCAGCATGGTCCACCGAATCTTGGGACATCCTTGGCGATCCCCGCTAATGTGATGCCGCTAGGTGGAGCGCGATCAGGATAGAATTGAGAAGGCTGATTGTAAACAGCCGCAGCTCAGGAAATATTTCTGGACCCTACTGTTGGCAGCTCGAGAGCTTATTCACCCTACTTCTTCCCTCTTGCTACGATGGGATTACTTACCTTTCGTTACCCCGCGATCATCATTCTCACACTCGTTGCTGGCTCTCTCCTTTATCTATGGCAAGAATCCTTCTCGTTGGCAGACCGAATCGCCTCGCTCAGCCCATCTGGCTCGGGGTTCCGCGTAGAGGAGCCGCCCTCCTATCATGACCGCCTCAGTCAAGTTCGTCCCCTCGATACCGCCCCTCATTCCAAAACTTTAGGAGTCGCGGGGAAAGTATATGTCGTCAGTCTCCCGAAGCGGACAGACCGGAGAGGTGTCATGCAGGAAATCGCAGATGCCATGGATATCGAGCTGACGTTCCACGATGCGACGGACATGCGTGGTCCAGAAGTCCGCGATATAATGGAGCGGATAAGGTGGTGGAGGAATGAACATCGTGTCGACAGCTCGATGCCAAAGGATGATCCTACCCCGTTTACCTTCTCGTGGGCGGACGATGTGAATTCGGACGATTCGATGCTCGGCCTGTCGGGGTCGGATCTCTGGTCTTCAGGTTTAGGGGAGAGCCCCTTGTCTCCATTGCCTCCTGCTCCGACTCCCGACAAACGTCCTCCCGTTCTTGATACCTTTGGCGAGAAGGGGAACCACTTTGGCCGCTCGCCGCTTCGACCTGCACAAATAGCATGCTGGGTTTCGCATTATAAGCTGTTGCGCAAGATCGCGGAAGGACCAGATGACGTGGCTATCATTTTAGAAGACGACGTGGATATCGAGTGGGATCTGGAAAGTCGTCTTCGGAAGGTGTGGTCTGTGTTACCCAACGATTGGGATATGGTGCTGCTAGGTGAGTGCCAGTGGAGCATGTTCTTCTACTATTATATCTTTGTGAATTAATGTGAATGATTAATAGGCTATTGTGGCGACAAGGAGTGGACGAACCCACCTATCCACGGCGCACCCACTCTGCATCCTTCATTCAGTACCCTCTGCACCCATGCCTACGCCGTCAACAAACGTTCCGCTGCACGAATCGTTCGCCGCCTACGATCAGAAGCGTTCTCCTATTCAAGGCCTATTGACCACGCTTACTATCATTTATATGCGTACAAAGAAACCAAATCGTTCTCGATCTACCCTCCTGTCGTCGTCCAAACCTATGAGCTGGATAGCGACATCGCCCCAGGGAGACCGAAGAGTGATAGGTCACAGTGGTTGGGAGATAGTACACTGGAGAGAATCCAGTTGTTCAAGGAAAAAATGGAGGTCGATAATAACTCCTCATATATTTCTGTCTAAAGACCCCGGATCTTCTTTGCATGTATGCCAAGTGCAATCTCTCATTAGACCTGTGTCTTGTGTTTTCGTAAATTATTGGACACCATGACAACTTAATATTGTTTAGATTAATTACAAGAAGAAGGAGTTCTTTTCTATTTAATAGATATCTCAAGAATCAATTGACAGAATATTGGCAGAATAGATTAAAGAGTCTGAACAAGTTGGACTTAGTACGGATTCAACTTGTATGCGGTGGCTATATTAATTTCTTTCCTGTAAAATTATAAGTAATTATTATTGGTTCCTATATTTCCATCTTTTTGCAAGAGAAGTTTTTCGTAGCAATGCAAAATACGATATCTAGGACAGAAGGTACTCCGCTTTCGGCGGAATTGTTCAGCCGATGCTATCGTAGCTGAATCCGTCCATACCGGGGAGCTCTTCTCCACATCATATTTTGGATATGCAATGTTCAATTGGTATTATTTAGGCAAGAAAGTGCCTGTATATGCATTAAGGCAGCAAGACCCTTTCCACTTTAGCTCATATCCTGCATTTAGTTCCACTGGCACCGGGTAAGCAAAGGAAAGATCCTTCCGAAAAGACGAGGAAGAGCATGCACTTTTCCGATCGATTTAAATGAGACAGGTATTCAGAATCCGTTTATGAATCGTACGGATTCTCGCACCGGCAGAGTTCCACACAGGCCCGGCCCCGTAACTTCCGGCCATCGTTGTAACGCTGGTCAGAATTTCCATCTTATATAGTATAGTGGTTAGTATTCGCGCGTATCAAGAGTTAAACTCTAGGACGCGCGAGACCGGGGTTCAGTACTCCGTCTGAGAGATTTCCTTTAACGATTGAGGCATCGTGATTCGTGTCTAAGTTTTCTGAACACGCGGCCCTTTATAAAACCATTTCAACCAATACAAGCCTTTTTTCCTCCTTGTCACTGATTCATACGAACGCGATATGATTATGTTACGCACAAAATATCATTTATACCGCCCGAGCTTCGAGGGTTATGCATCCTCGCGTCCTGACTTGAACAGGGAAAGGTTTCCGAGGATGTATGCGCCGCACCAGCAGCATGTTCAACATTTCCCTTCCTTGTCAAGATCTTCTGCAATTATCCCTGCTTAGACATATGTGTATTTTCGAGATAGAAGTCTGAGTTCAGACCGGAAACAAGAAAATAAAAAGAATTTAATTTGGAAAACATAGCGTGGGAAGACTCTGTAAGCTGTTACTCGGTGACGGTTCTGCTTGAGAGCCCATAGGAACTCACCGACAAAAGATTTCCCACATTATGTTTTCTAGATGTTTTTCTTTTCTCCTCGCTAGTATGGCACATGCATTTATCCTATGATTTTTACGAAAATTACATAACTCCCTATGGTTTTTAAATATGTACTACGCAATTCCACACACTACAAGTCAAACCAAACCAAGTCTCCACTGTTACTTAGGTGCACACAACACGCATAAGTATTTTATAAAATGCCGAGTAAGATACTCATATTCATTATATACACATCGTCTCCAACATATTTAGCTCGTGCAACTGATGATTGATCCTCACTAAGTATCTCATCATCCTTACACGGCACTATATACAGACCAAACCAAAAAGACGTACATACGACAACATCATAGCTTACTCATAGTTAAATTGCGGTTTAAAAGCCTGCAATATACATGATATATATATCCAAAATGGACTTTATACAAGAAGTTCTGCTCCTGCGGTCCAACCGCCAGGTGTCCTATTTCTTTTTCTTGGAAGCTATAAAAGCAAAGATGCATGAGCCCCATTATAATAACCCCAAGGAACAAAAGCCACATACCTCCACCCTTAGCGCCACCCTTCCTCTTCCGTCCCGCACTCTCAACATACTCTTCTTCGTCATCATCGGTAGCATCAGCCTTATCATCATCAGCAATGTTGTCTTCCGCATACACAATCTCTTCCTCCACAACAGCAGCTTTCTTGCCGCGCGGTTTGCGAGGCGCTGCAGCGGGCGGTGCTGCGTTCTTGGGGATGTCACCTATAGGTGCACCAGGATTGGCAGTGCAGGCCGCACAGAACCACTCGCCATCAGGGACGGAGGATAGAGGGGGGTTGAGGCAGGATGGGTGGTAGGGTGTGTCGCACTGTGGAATGGAAACGCGAATGATGTAGATGGATGCGGGTTGAAAAGAAGAAACGGATGTTCATCAGTGACTATAATCGCCTGAATATCACGCTCAACCGCACCTTTTCACACAACAAGGGATCCTCCGCATCGCCTTTGTCGGTCTTACAGGCCACACATTCCTCGGATACGTCTGGCAACTCAGGGTGACGAGGTAACTCGGACAGTTTCTCCGATGGACGAGCGAGGTAGAACGTCGTATTTTGCGCAGCAGCGATACTAGACCCATCGTCATATCAGCACTTATACAATTATGATCAGATGGGAGGAACACACTCGATAACATCAATGCCATTAAGAGGTATAACCTTCGTAGGCTTAGTCGCGCTCCTCGGTGCGTCTTCACCCAGACCTAGTTCGCCGTTTGCGGCGTTTTGGCCCCTATTCATTACATAGCATAAGTCACAACACTGATACGAAGGAAAAGGGCCCATACCATGCAACCGTCATTGGGCCAACATCGGATTCATCGTCTGGGCAGATGGCAAAGTGGGTGACGCCACCGCTCGAGGCGTGGGTTACTTTGCAGCCCCTATTATGAAGAATGTACATAAGGAATTGATATTAAATGTCTAAAATAGATGAAACACACATTATATCAGGGATATATTTGAAGGTTGTGTAGGGTTGACCGCTTGAACCTGAAATGACATGAGAAACGCGTTCTGCAAGCAAAAGGAGTTGAACTCGTACCTTCGCCGGAATTTTTCCACTACAAGATCAGTCAGACGAGGTCTATGAAAAAGGACAGACGATCTACGTACTTTGCCTGCCATCCAGTACATCCCATTTCGGTCAATGACGACACTATTCGATGGTCCGGCAGCGATTTTGGCTCCGCGAGTCAACTCTGCTGGACCTGCGAACTATTAATTGTAATATTAGCATTCATATACTACAGCGATATTGAAGGTGTGGCTTGCCTGAGGAACAACCTTGGCCAGTAAAGCATCCGTCTGGTTACCGAGACCCAATCGACAGTAACCGTTGTAGCCAAAGACATAGACAAAGCTAACGAAGAGGATATCAACCAAACGAATAGGGGAAAGTATAAGCTAGCGCACCCTTCAGAGTCAAGGACAATGCTGTGCTGGTTGCCAGCTGCAATGTCGACGATGTGCTTGCCTTGGAGACCTTTTACAAGGACTGGAGAGAATTCAATGAGTAGTTGACAAACCCACAGAACAGGTACTGACCAGGCTCAGAATGGATATCGTACGCAGACTTGTTGCCGGCTGTGATGTGCTCTCCTGTTCGGCCGTTACCTAGTTGACCTTTCTCGCCGCTTCCGAAAGCATAAACTGTTAAAGGATGTCATTAGAGTAGGCAATACAAGGTAGACAACAGTCTGCTTACCCTTTCCAGTATCGGTGAGCACGATGGAGAAGGTAACACCACAAGCAGCCTTGATAACATTCTCCTTCTTTCCGCCCGATTTTGGTCCATCAACTAGCCTCCAATGCAGAATCTCGGATACAGCTGCTGAATGACCACACTACAAAGACCTTTAGTATCTCATCCGGAGGCATAAGAGCCTGTAACTCACCTGTCCCAACGTATTCGTCCCGACGCTCCAAAGCTCTCCCCCACTACCGACCAACAGCGAATGCCCTCTTCCACATGCAGCAGAGACAAATTTCGTCCCCTTCGCAGCCTTGACATGCGCCGGGGTAAGGTGTCGCGGACCGTTCTCAGAGACCTCGTCTACGCCGACAACGCCCATGCAAGTCGACAAATTCCGCCCAAACATCCATGCGGTTCCGTCGGATGCGAGCGCAATACAGTGACAACTGGTCGAAGACGAGTGTATAGAAGTGATTTCGACATTGGCTAGGGACCGAAGGATGTGCGGTGTGAGGAGGTCAGGCCTGTGTATGCCGAATGTTCAAAGTTGTACTACATGGCAACATGGATGATTCGCACCTTTTTTCTTGGTCAATACCACTTCCAGGCCTATCCTTCTTGCCTAGACGTGTCCTGTAAAGCCAAATGGCGCGTTGAGCTGCTGGAAGAGACGAAAGCGGCGCGTGTGTGACTTACCAGTCTGTTCCGCCGGCCAACAACACTGGCAACAACCACCACACAAAACTGCGTTAGTCGACGCAATCGTTAACGGATACTATAACATACCTCTACCCCAGGGCTTTTCTTTAGGTTGACTCCCGGGTTTCGGGATCGAATCGTTGGTGTTCGTCGCGGGTTCAGTCATCACTCGAGGTTGCGGCAGTCAGACAAGGGTTCAATTGTTCAAAAGTCGCGTGATACTAAGTTCCTATCTACATGGTTTTTTGCTCTACGAACTCCAAACTTCCTGCGACAATGTAAACGCGACCAACGCGCGTACTCTCCCCCGTATATATGCCTTTCCCAAGCCCCAGAAGAGCCCCATTCATATCCCAACAATTTCGATAACCTCTGTTGGTGTCTCGCTTAGCCGTCCAAATCGGGATAAAATGTTGCCAGAAGCAAAGCTTTGTGAATTTGCAGTCGACATGTCGTTGACTAGACAGGTTCCAGTAGCTGAGTGCACAGAGCGCAAGACGGCAACCAAGTTGACCTGCCAAGCGTTTAAGCAAAGCCGGAGAAGACGCCTGAAACCGAGGATTTTGGTATCGCATTTGCTCCCAGCAAGTTGTGCGATCTTCATATCGAGTTGTGAAGCATTCGGGGAATGTCTTGAAGCCAGAGCATGAGACCATACGACAATACATCTGTTTGAACTGCTTCAACGAGGTCGAGACACAAGCTAAGGTTCGATTTTGCGATTCTTCTTGTGTTCCATGTACCACGAACCTGAAGCGTCGAGTCGAAATTTGCAACAGATGACGATTGAACCTTTATAACAAATAATAAAGGCTAGAAAGCGCCTCAAGCAAGATAGATAGCATCGCCTTCGCGAAGATCGGCACATTCGGCTAGGGAAGATCTAATAAACATGCATTAATAGGGTGCATAGGGCTATGTAATGTGATTTGTACCGGAATGAATGGCAGCTTGTTTCGGACGAGCTTGCACCGTCTGTGGTGACAGCTCCCAGCCAGCTAAGCATTGTCCCCAGTTCAACTTCCTCCAAAATCAAAGATTCCGATCGGATGAACATCCCAAAACTGAGAAGGATTATATCGTAACGGCATGTTGCTCCAATGGTCTTCGCGCTGAAATGCCATTTTGTGTGGCAAACATCGACCTTCCATTTATTTTGTGTCCTTGGTTGGCTTTAGAATCCAACAAATTGACATGATTTTGGAGGGTTACAGAGTATTCGATAAAGCCAAAGATTTAATAGAATAGAAGATATCTTGTCCACTCATTGGAAGGCCGCAAGATGGGAAGAAGTCTAATGGTGGCACTGGCAGGAAGCAAGAGCGGGTATCGTTCCCACGGTTATAGTTCCGAATATCCCCAGTCTTCGAAGGGTTTCTAAATGCCCATGGAATGCTTATTGCGTGTCAGGCTATCTAGCTTCTTTCGAGGCTTTTTCGACAGATATAATCGGGTACATTCTGGTAGATTACAATGGCAACTTGAAGGTAGGCAGTACAGTCTAGAATACAGTCAAAGCCCTTGCATTTATTCCAAATCGCTTCTACTAGGATTCTAACAATTCATATAGCTTTGCATGATAAGCCTGCACATTTAAGGCTTCTAGAA